GCAATCTTCCATGTGGCCCAATAGTGATTACGTTGCTCGTTGTGCAACAGGTGAAATGCATTTATTTTCAAGATTCGAGCCTCCTACAAAACAAGAGATATTAACACTAATTTAACTATTTCCTCTTGTCAAAAAAAAATTTAAATACAAAAATATAATTTAACATCTATTTGATTTATCTATATGGTCAATAACTTATAAAATAATTAATATTAATTATTTAATAATAGAGTGGGGCCCATGTTATATTGGGTGGGAAATTTTTTGTTCATTGCCACTGTGGTATACCGGATCAGAGAAAGCATTTACGGATACGTCGCCAAGTAAGATGAGCACGACGTCTGACTAAAGTCTACATGAGAAGCACAACTCAATTCTGTCATTACAAAAGTTAAAATTTTCATATCGTATTGTTGATGGATTAATAACCTTAAATTTTTTTGATGAAGGGCTAATAACCTTAAAATTTACAAGTGAGGCAACTAAATATATGAGTTAAGCCTTAAATTAGTGCCAGCAAGAAAATGAGAGGACAGCTGCTGTTATTTCTCATACAAGGCAAGAAAGACTGGACTTGCCATAAACTTATTCAGCAACATGTCCAATAGTTATACTTCCATTTGTATAGAATTTACCTATGAATGTCCATAAGATACAAAACAAAATAGACAGATTTCTTTCATGTTAGGCTGTCACCTGCGCTGATGTGATCAACAGTATCTCCTAATTCTGAAAGATAAGACTGGAGGAGTGTTTCCAGAAAATGGTTTCTGTTCTTTAATTTGATAACGGCAGCTCCAAAAGTTCAGTTTCTGGTATGGGATGTGCAAACAGAAGCAAAACTTCAGTTTCTGGCCGGTATAAGATGTCCATAAACAGCAGCAACTCTAGCCTCCTTTGGTTATGAGAAATTATCCTCTTCCTTTATATATATATATATATATATAAATGAAATAGAAAACCATGAACTATCCAATATTTGATTTGAAGCAATAACAAAAAATCAGATGCAGCACCTAAAAGGAAAATATACACCAAGAATAAAACTTGCTCAAAAAAGCTGCACGAGAACAACTGAGCTTTTCAAACCAAGGCTCAAATGGCTCCTATAAGACACCAAGTGATGCTTCATGAGGAGGAATTATTGACCCTCCAGTGTACCAAATAAGACTGCAGGGTACAAGAGTTGCAAAGCAGAGCTTTTAGAAATTATGTGAAGCCCGTAAGGCCATATTGCTCTGAGGTTCCTTGTTGGGGGCATATGGAAAGATCACTTGCGTTTGCTCTTCAAGGGAAGAATCAGCAATCTTATAGAGCTTTCCATATGCATCCTTTTACTTGCAGTCATACACAATTGCACTATTAGGAGCAACATATTCTAGTTGCCATTTTGTTCAAAACAGAACATGCCAGATAGCATGAGTATAGAATTAACAGATAAGCAAATACGTATATTTGATTCTTTGACAAGTATAATTTCATAAATGACTAGTACATAAAGGAACGAGACCAATTTGACTCATAGTATTACACATCTGTGCTTTCAGGGTTGAGTGAATCATAATAAGGCTCAGATATGCCCACATAGATATCTACATCTTGCAAACAACAAGACTAAACTATGATATTTAACTTTCCCTTGTACCTGAACAAGATCATGGAGAAAAGCATTCTAAGCTTGACTTGTTTATCAAGTACATTGCCCCCACCAGATAAAGGTTGGCTAGGCAAAACTAGATCTCATCTACCTGAATTAACCAATGCAAAAACGAAAAGATAAGCGAAAAATAAAGTTGTACCAAGTAGATCCTTCTACTAAATGTTTGCTGAATGCTTTATGTGAGTTATGATATGCACCCAAACCAAAATGCATCTAACAGATATTAATCAATTTCAGTCAATCCCACAATTTAACATATCAAATAACAGATATTCATGCATTTATTCAATTCCACAATTTAACATATCAAAGAACATATATTCATCGATTCATTCAATTCCACAATTCAACATATCAGTATCAGCTTTAATCATCTCCAGCACCTAATGGAAGCCAAGGACCTAAACAATTATTCAGTTTATAATTGGTCACTTACAATACCAAACATCTCACTTCAATTGCGAAATTGCTTCTGGCCTCTTCCACTGTAGAATTGAAACCCTCTAGCCTGGTTCAATCGGCCGAATTCAATTCATCTTCCTCCATATGGAGCGCCATCTTCTGCTTGAATGCCTGCAATTGATCTTCCAATTGTTTCACATCTGACTGATATTTCATCACGAGCGATTGCAATGATTGGATAACTTCATGATCATATTCATGATTCTCCTCTGCCATTCTCTGGTACTGATTGGCTTCCATCTCAGCTGCACACTTCTCACTTTGGAGGCGCAGATCTCCTTCTGATATCCCACATAAGCTGCACACTTCCATAGGTGTTGATTTTCTGGTTTTTTTTGTTATTCATTATAAGTTTTTGCTTCATCCTAATTTATGAACAGTATAGTTGAGTGATATTTAATTATATATTTTTAATTGAAACAGATAACCAAGATTCAAGAATGAGGGAACTATTTTCAGACATCTATACTAAGGGTTTGCCTTTTCTGATTTTAGTTTTGTCCTTAATAGTCCTGTCTTTTCTTGGAGTGTTTATGGAGTTAAAACTTGTAGTTTACAAGAAAGATATAAAATCATGCTTGGTTTAGGTTTGGCATTGGGTCAACTGGTGGTGGTATTGTATAGACATTTAGAAACGGTTAGGAATTCAACCTTCGTGAGGGGACCTCACGGACCTTTTTTACAATCCCTGAATGTTTTAGTGGGTGGTGTGGTTACCTATCTACTTAACTCCATTTCTCAGCCCAATATCATCTTATTAGTCTTTAGTTTGGCTGTTTTAGTGAGTCTGAATGAACTGATTCAACCAACCATAGATTTTGGTTTAATCAACTCAGTATTTTCTTCTATTGCTATCCATTTTGGTTTTTTTCGCATCAAGGTTTAAGGATTCTAGTTGCTCTGTTATGTTGTTGCATTCTGTATGTCCATTTTGTAGACAGGCTACATGGCCCCAAGCGGCAGCCATGAGTTCGCCACAATCTGAAGACCCTACACTAAAACTATAAACACTTTTTTGACATAATTTTTATGATGATAAAATTGGAAAAAGAAAAATCAAAGATGTCCTAATTAGATGTAATAAAATTGAATTACTTATATATATAAGGTCTTCAGATTGTGGCGAACTCATGGCTGCCGCTTGGTGCCATGCAGCCTGTCTACAAAAATGGACATACAGAGTGCAACAACATAACAGAGCAACTACAATCCTTAAACCTTGATGCGAGAAAAAACCAAAATAGATAACAATAGAAGAGAATATTGAGTTGATTGAACCAAAATCTATGGTTGGTCGAATCAATTCATTCAGACTCACTAAAGTAGCCAAACTAAAGACTAATAAGATGATATTGGACTGAGAAATGGAGTTAAGTAGATAGGTAACCACACCACCCACTAAAACATTCAAGGATTGTAAAAAAGGTCCGTGAGGTCCCCTCATGAAGGTTGAATTCCTAACCGTTTCTAAATGTCTATACAATGCCACCACTAGTTGACCCAATGCCAAACCTAAAACAAGCATGATTTTATATCTTTCTAACTCCATAAACACTGCAAGAAAAGACATGACTATGAAGGACAAAACTAAAACCAGAAAAGGCAAACCCTTAGTATAGACATCTGAAAATAGTTCCCTCAATCTTGAATCTTGGTTATCTGTTTCAATTAAAAAAATATAATAAATATCACTCAACTATACTGTTCATAAATTAGGATGAAACAAAAACTTATAATAAATAACAAAAAAAACCAGAAAATCAACACGTATGGAAGTTATGATATCCCTTGATTTCCTTCTGATATCCCAGATAAGCTGCTTAACAGCCTTGTTAAGCAAACCAAATTGCAAGACCACCAACCCCAAACAAAACATCAGAAACAGCCCAAAACATTCAAAACAAGCGAGAGACACCCAAACCCCCAAAACCCATGTCTCAACTCAGTCCCCTGAGCCAAAAACTTGAAGTAGGTACCAACATCCGCCATTAATATCCCCATAAAAATCTCTAGAGGCCTCCTGTACAAGCCAAGAACAAAACACCCAACAACCAACCCACAAACCCAACTCAAAATCCGCATATACGTCCTCTTAATTCCCACCCCATTCGATCCAACCTTCAGTCACTCAGACTGACAGCAGAAGCAGGAAAAACAATGAGATTTTCTGAAAAGGAAAAAAATGGCACAGAGAACATTTACGAATTCATCAAAAATTTGTTGTTTTGTTTAGGTTACGATTTAGAAGTCTAGAGATAGAAAATGGGTTGTGATGCACCAAATACGCACTACTTTTAAGCAAGTGAACCTAATCAATTATGCAATATAAGATAAGTACGATATGTTCCCTTGAGGACTATTCTACACTACCAAGACAATATTAATCTAACCTAGATTGAATTAACCAATTAATAGAGTAAAACTAAATTATTTAAAAGAAAACTACTTAAACTAAAAGAATTAAACTAAAAGAATTAAACTAAAGGAATTTTCTAAGTTAAGAAACTATGAATGAGAAGGAACTAGAGTTTAAATTTCATTTAATTCTGAATTATGCAACTGTTTCATTAATTTAATTCAAGTTTAAATAATAGTGTTATCACATGAGATAACAAATTTCCCTAAATTAATTAACCAACTTTCTCAAGTCAAACTAATTTTTCATTTGTTTGCTAAATTAATCATATCTCTATGTAATTTTAAACAAACTAATAAGCATTAAATTCAAATTCTATGAAAACCTCTAGCTTAAGAAGAATTCTACAAAAAAGGAGCTACTAACTCTTATCTCTTCTTCCACTAACACATGTGAGCTAATTACCTCTCAGTCTCATAGTCTAACACACGGTTTATATTATTATTAGTCTAATTTATGCAATTCTACCTCAAGTTATTGAAAGGTGATCAAGCTCTCCATGCATTAAACTCAACATTCAAATAACCAATAAATCTTGAATTAAACTAACAAAAACAGTCACATAATCCAAAAATTAAAATTCATCCATCCCTAATTCTAAGAAATTTAGCTATGCATAATTATGTTCTCAACAGCAGCCATAATTCGGTAATCCCAGCAGACAATCATGATAAAAAATTCAAGTTAAGAATCAACAACACCCGTACAATGAAGAACGAGCCAAACTTGTGCTGCTGTCCCTCCCTAACAAAGCTGGCGGAGAAGAACAGAGGCTGTCGGCGGCGTTGGCTCTTTCACGAACAGATCTGGGTGGGCGTCCTCCCTTCTGTGCAGAACAGATTTTTGGGGCTTCTTCTCCTTGTGCAGATGCCAGCTGATTGGGTATTGGGTGTCCTCTTCTTCTGGGTGTGAACAGCAGATGCGGGTGGCTGTGTGCTGGGATTTGAGCGGCTGCGTGCTCGGGACCTCTCTTTCTTGTTCTCTTTTTCTGCTGAGCAGCATGTATATATATATAATATTAAAACCCTTATTTCATTTTAGCCCTAGCAGACATGGGCTTTGTTTTGGACCAGTCCACAACACAAAACAGGCCACATGTTTTATTATCCTTTTTTTCCGCAATCTGCACAGCCTTCTTGCCAAAAAAACGTTGATCTCCACTGGAATTTTATATTGATGCCGATGGAACTGGGTTGAACTCATAAAATATGAATTATAGCTTTGTTTCTTAGCTTTCTAATGCCTGAAGAATTATCTTAATTTCATATTTAAAGAAAAAGATATGATTAAATTATTACAACATGTATAAATTATCACTTATTATAAAATTAATTTTTATTTTAATTTTCACTCATAAATAATAAAATTAATATAAACAAAAGTGAAACTGACTTACAAAGTACTCATGAAATTAAATTTTAAGCTAAAAAAAAGTAAATAAATATATATTAAAATTAAATTTATCAGTTTGTAGGCAGAAATTGGTAGACTACTGACCTTCTCCGGTAGAATAGACTGTAGAGCGTTAGGATTCCGGCATCTGTAGAGAAATTCGTACGGAGATTTTGTCAAGAGGGACAGAGAGTAGTTTATATGGTGTCTGCGAGTTTTGGGGTTATAGGAAAACGTGTGACGAAAAATAGAGGTGTGGTTTGGTTGGTTTTGGATTTTAATATATTTTAAATTAATTTAATTTAATTGGTTAATAAAATTTTTAAATTAATTTAATTTATTATTATATAATAATCAAATCAATCTAGCTTAAATCAGGTTGGTGTGATTCGATCAAATTGATCAATTTTTAACACTATTAAATATATGAAATAATATAATAAATTTTAACATTTAGTAGAATACATAACCATAAAACAGATTAACATCCAAATCAGTAG